CAAGTGACTGTGGTACAAACATACAATGAATGTAATCTGATTTCTTACAATGAAAATGCTAACTAAATCTGAAATTATATTATTTTAATTACACAAGCATGAGTGGTATATGAATGGAAAAAAAAAAAATTTAAATTGATAATAAATTAATTCACAATAAAAATAATAAACTTACCGGAACTTTAGTTGGGAATTTTGCCCTTATTCCTGCCACCTCTTCTTTTCTCGTGGCTGGAAAAAAAACGATGAGACAAAAATTAAATTCCATACAACTTTTGAGAAAGTTCGCAATATTTTCCTTGACGAACACAACGACTCCTTGTTGATTGATTTCGTTTACGAATCATTGTCATGGCGCGGTTCTTGAAGCGATCAATACCACATCGTGCAGACACGCCGCACAGTCACTGATTCGGGACGGAAAAAGTCAGCCACAGGTACTATCGGCTCGTTGGTAAGTACAGTAGGGAGTGATTTTTAACATACCAAAACTTTTTCTTTGCTTAAAAGGCTTATACTGGTTCTTGTCGACATCTGGCATTGTGAATCGGCTGATGTGAAGTATTTCTTGATAGAACAACACAGTTGTGAGAAAACGCCTAAACGACAGGATACACGCACACACGCACCTAAATGGCAAAATGAATATCGCTTTCAAAATGGCGAGTTGATGACGTCACTGCGCGTAATGATGGTCTCTACTACTTTTGAATAGGGTATTAATCCTTATGCTACTACTTAATTATCGCGGAAAATTCACATGTTGTAATACATTTATAAGCACAACTTTATAGTAATAAGAAAGACTATATGTCGTCGCTATATTTATGAAAGAAGATAGACTATTTAAACCACACAGCACACAACAACAGAAACTGTTACCACCTTTTATTCTGATTGGTAGAGCCCGAATCTGTGACGTCATTAACAACTCTCAGCTGATCGGTTTAGTCACGAAGATCAAAACAACTCATTCATGGTTATTTTGGGTGCTTTTGAGGTCATGTCAGTTGACAGTCGGCTATTTGTATTTACCGTGATAACATGTATATCAGTGTTACCCATGTGTACAGGTAGGACTCGAATCATATGCTTCACACTTAAAAATCAACATCCGATATTATTACAGTATTACAACACCAAATTGTATTTATCAATTCACTCTAAACTTTTACAAGATTGGTTTCCGCATTTCCTAGAATATACGCCAGTATTTCGGCACTAGCTGGCAACTAGTAAACTGTGCATTCATCGTTCTACGGGCTATAAAAATGTATTAGAATTTACTTTCAGACTTAGGGGTCTACCAATCAAGATCCTGGGTTGTTTTAATTGGTAAATTGAGATCGACTTTCCAAAAGGGGAATTTCTTTTATGAATTGAAGTGATAAATCAGCTGCTATCTGATTAATTAAAAAACTACTAGTACCATGATGGACATACAACCCTGAATGATGTCAGTTCGTCCCTGAATGTTGTGATGTGGGAGGATTTAGAGGTATGCAAAGTTGGGTATGCAGATGTGAATGTATTTATCTATGACGTCAGACAACAGCTGATTATAATAAATATAACCCGGTCTGCCACAAAAAAAAAAAAACAGTTTCCATGGAACCAATCAATTCACAAATTCAGATTATTCTTTTCATAGCCATATGAACAATTTTAAAATAATTCCCAGTACATACTTAAAGTTTGTTTAATACGCTATTATAACACTATCAAATTTGCGTTACTATATGGATATGTTCAGTGTTTGAAAAAAAAGTCCTGCATAGCCTGATCCACCCACACAGACAAATACAGTATCATTGTTATAACAAAGGAAATACGTTATTTTAATTTATAGTTTCCGAGTGTCCATTAATTGAGAATATGTTTGAGGCAGCACCATGTACATCCCCATGCAGCAGCGACAGTGAATGTGCTGGTAGCGGAATATGTTGTAAAGTCAGTCCTATTAGCGATTGTGTACATGAATGTCACATGACACAAAATTCAGGTATAAAGTTGAGATTTATTATTTTTTTAGATAGGTTTGTCAAGATAGATATGTGGTTATTCATTATTTTATAAATTAATTATTTCATTCCACTTTCAGTATTACATCAAATTAATATATTTTCATCATTAACAAACATACAAACCTGCAACAAAAAAATATAATTACTGCGTCACCAACAACACACTAAATTACGAAAAAAATTCATAATTAAAAATTTTACATTGATTTTTTTTTTAATACAAAAAATAATATTGGGGTAACTGCAATTATACATTCAGGTTTTGATAATTTGACAACGTTTAAAGATTGTTCTGAAAATTTGCCTTGCGAAAATTAAAATTCAGCTCAGGCACATTAACTTGTGTATTTTTTCAACTGACAGTATACTGTGTACACCCTGACTCTCATGAGATTCTAAATGTTGGTAGTGAATATGAGAACTGGCAAGGGCAGTGTTGGTAAGTAAAATATTAACAAATTTCTTCTATTTTGAAATATCAGCTGTAGAATCCTTACACCTTCCAAGGTCTACAAGATCCTTCACAATATGCGTATGGCATACATGTACAGTTATCACAACCCCGGTCAGCTAGCTATTGCCTAAGTACAATGCTAGTAATATCAAGATATTACAGATGGTACAGTCAGGATTGGTTGATTGATCATGATGTCATTGTAAACAGTGCTCAGTATGCTAGCTACTAGCTACTTTGAAACTGACCAATGATTTGAGAATACTTTACTTGCCGTGGTTCTGATTTGACTTCGCCATAATATGTTATGCTTGAAAAGTTTTTCATAGCTCATAAGCTAAATTGACAATCGAAAGACCTTCAAAAGCACATAGAATCTTGGCTGCCAGGATACAATCAACTATTTGTTTTGTATTTTTGATAGTACGTGTGAATCGATTGGGGAAATCATTTGTCGTAACAGGGTGTGTGACGTCCCCAGGACCTTATCAGATGACACAAAACCAGGGAGGTGTCCATCACCCACGGAAACTCAGTTGTGCAAAGAAGTTGGTTGCCAAGGTGATTCTGACTGCCCATCCAATCAGAAGTGTTGTCAAGCTATCCCAGAATGCTTTCACACAATGACCTGTGTAATTCCTGAAGATGCCTCTACAGGTAAGAGGCTGGCATCCATTAAATGTGATAATAGCTTCATAAACTTGCTTTATCTATAACACAAATGCAGAACAGATATTTTTATTTTATTTTTGTTATTTATACAAAATCACTCTGATGTTTATGTTTCTCAATTTTTTCAAGAAAAAATTTCAAATCTTCAATAAAGACTTATTTTATCTAGCAATCACGTGACCACATGAAGGTTGCACCTAACAAAACCTAAATCTTTAATCAGTGTGAAGTATGCTGTTTCATAAAATTAAGTGTTTTTTTTTTTTTTCCTCAGGCTGCACAGAAAACAGAAAGCAGTACTTGGAAGGTGATGTTGTCAGAGTGGTAGACCAGTGTAATAATTGGTAAGAATATGTCTTGTTGTCATTTATTTATTATTTAATAATACCAATAATAATATATGCAGCATAAATTAAAAAAAAAATGCTGAAAATAATATGATAAGCCAGTTTTGTAACAATAAAAAAAGCATATGAATTTTAGGTTTTATAAGTTGATCAAGGAAATAGAGCTGTGATCAATTTTTTTTTGCGTTTCAAATGTTAAATAATTTCAATCTAAAAAAAACCAAACATTTGTACTTTATTTTTGAAGTATGACTCCATTTATTTATATTTATGTACTATTGTATATATTTTCATACATATTGAATCCAAATATCATTTTTATGTTATTCACTGAAACTTGTAGGTTTCCATTCTATTGTATTGTTTACTTACTTACTTACTTTTATAAAAACACATGCTTTTCGGTACCAAATTGAAATTGATGAGTGCAACACACTGGGCCGTAATTGCACGTTTTAGTCAGGTCATGTGACTATAATTTAACACACTGTTGCGTGTGAACCCCTATTACGATGAAGAATATTCATATCTTTATATATCATGTTTAATCAGAGCGTCACTGGCGTGAGCGTTCAAATTACATGAAAGAAGCATGGGAATTTCACACACATTGTACATGTTGCATTGAACAAGATTTGGAGTAATGACTATGGTGCTGTTGACTTTGATTGAACTAGTTCATTGCCTATTTTCATGTATTTATGTTGAACTACATTTTGAACCAAATGTACTAATCTTCCATTATTTACAGGTATTGATCAAAATATTCGAAAAAATGTGAAAATGATGTGGGTGAAAAAGTTGACATGCTGTGCATTGGGTATTTTTGCCACTCTCTACTCGTGTTCTGATTTGGACATTTTTTACCAAAAGCACTTAGCAAATTATTCTAAAGTAATATTAATTTCATTATTATGGAATTTTGAAAGAAATCAAATTTTCGCATACTCTCCTACAGCAGAATATCATTGTCATAATTAGAAGCTTATATTGTGTGTAAAAATCTTGTATAATTTTATTACAAAAAAAATAACTGTATACAGTAAACTATTACGTTTTCGCAGATAAAAATTTTAATGATGTAACAATTCAACAGCATTCACAAGGAAGAATATTCACATAAGATTTTGGCGGGAAAACATATGTCCATATAAACACACATTGTGTTTTTATTTTATACCTTGCATTTATACTGATACAAACCACCTATAAGCTCAATGTAAATGTGTCCATACAATTCAAGTCAGAAATATTTTTCACAACAAATGTATACGTATTTAAAAAAAAGGATTAATACAATTTGTTTAACTCCACTGTATATTTTCATTGATCTAACAGTCACACTATATGCGTCTCTGACGTACAGAACACCTGTTACATTTAGTTTTGCTACAGACGTCATAAATCTTGTTACCATGGCAACTCGCAATAGGCAGGTGTTACTGGCCCTTATGTGTTTTTTTTCCATCACTCCAAAAGCTTTTTTGCAACAATCCTGAAAGAAAAGTATTATATTGATGAAAAATGCCTTATTGTGGCATTCAGTGGCGTGTTTGGCAACCATATATTATTTTAGTGCGCCCTCTATAAGATGTTAATAAAAACTATCGTCTTTGTTTTCTTGAGAATCATTGGGAGAAAGCTGTATTTTGTATACAGTAAATAACCCACTGAGTAATAAAGTAATAATTCCGGTACACAACCTAAAGTTTAAAGTGACATATAATATAAAAAATAATATAAAAAACTGGGAAACCTGCTTGTTTCTAGGCTGACCACTGATTTGTTTTTTTTTCATATTTTTTCTCCTTTTCTGTACACTCTGTTTTCAGTACCTGCTCTTACAGTGAAATTATTTGTACTCAAAATATCTGTTCAGGTTGGCTTTTCTTTGTTTCTGAGCTTTTCATTTAGTTTTTGCTGCATGACATCTTTAGCTTATCCTTGAATGGCACGTTTTCAGATTGTTTGCCCATTTCAGTAGTTTTTCTTTTCCTTCTTAATGTAGATATCTAAAGATAACATTTTTTTTTGAAGGTATGTGTATGATAATGTGTTATTTTGCAATTCAGATGTTTGTACCTTTGATGGACAACACTTTCAAAATGGTGATACAAGAAGAAAGGAAGAAGGTACGAGCT